AGGAAGAGGGAGGAGGAGGAGGAGGATGAGGGAGGAGGTAGGAGTGAGGGAGGAGGGGAGGAGGAGGAGGAGAGAAAGGGTGAGGAGGAGAGAGGAGAGGAGGAGAGGAGGAGAGGAGGAGGAAGAGGGAGGAGGGAGAGGAGGAGGGGAGGAGGAGGAAGGACGAGGGAGGGAGAAGGAGAGGAGGAAGTGAGGAGAGGAAGAGAGGAGGAAGAGGGAGGAGGAGTGAGGGAGACTGAGGGGAGGAGGAGGTGAAGAGGGAGGAGGAGGAGTGGGTGAGTCTACAAGGTGTTGAAAGTGTTCCAGCCATTACCACAAGGCCGTCCTCCCCAATTAAGGTGCCACCAACCTCCTGTGGTTTAGATGGATACCCCTCTTCCCTCCCCACCACCGGAAATAAGGCATTGACAATAGGAAGCAGTATTAGTGACTGGAACTGCGTCCCAAATGGCACCCTATTCCCTATGTAGTGCACTACTTTTGACCAGAGAATGGCACCCTATTCCCTATGTAGTGCACTACTTTTTGACCAGGGCTCATAGGGTCCATGTTTGGCAGGACAAGGAGTGGCATGATGGCACCAACAGACTGGTACCCAGGCTGGGAAAACACGTGTTATGTCACGCTTTGATGTTGGATCATCAGTACACTGGGGTTTCCAGATAGGTCATAGATCTGTGTGTTTGTGGAGCTGGGGATCAGAAAGATAGATGAGGATACATTTGTTCTGCTTCTCTACTATCACCACTGTCCCAAATGGCACCCTATTCTCTATGGGCCCTGGTCAAAAGTAGTGCACTATGTAGGGAATAGGGTGCCATATGGGACAGAGACATTCCTTGTTAAAGGAGATATAAACAGAGTGTAATCCTCTTCTTTAAAACCCTTGTAATCTGAAGAGACATAACTCAGTGTGTTTCCCTAACCCCAACAGCCTACAGGCGTTTACTCCGTTCATCTCCTCTGTCAATCTGTTCTATATTTTTATGCTCCTTTTATAACAGCAACAGTTCATTGGAGATTAAAGGTGAAGCAAAAGACAATGAGATGAAATCAACAGTATGACTGATCTATGACTGATCTATGACTGATCTATGACTGATCTATGACTGATCTATGACAGATCTATGACTGATCTATGACTGATCTATGACAGATCTATGACTGATCTATGACTGATCTATGACTGATCTATGACAGATCTATGACTGATCTATGACTGATCTATGACTGATCTATGACAGATCTATGACAGATCTATGACAGATCTACGACAGATCTACGACAGATCTACGACAGATCTATGGGCCATGTAGGGTTGCAACCTTCTGGGCTTTAAAATAAATCAGGAGGGAACAAGCAGGAAATACGGAATCGTCCAACCAGGATTTCTGGAAAACCTGGACATATGGGGAAAGTTCCGGAGAAGTTTCCCAACTGAAAACGAACAGTTGGTTTGTGAGAAGAACAGAAGCAGGAACGCCGGAAGCATAACATCCTAATTAGCCAAACAGCTATTGAGAATCGTTTCATAGCAGCTGGATAGAAACAGATATGCTAATACACTGGCCAGTAGGGGGCGCTACATACAAATATTTTATCCAAAGCTTCTCACTCACTCATCCACCGTCTGTTCCGTGGACTGTTAAAAGAATGGACAAAGCCATTGATGACATCCCCTCCATTGTTTCCTACGTGAAGGCTCAGAAGCACATTTGAAGATCAGGAAGTGTCATTTTAGCGTGTCTCCATCTTGCATTATGGAGGATTTTTTTGGAAACATTGCATGCGCACTGCAGATTGAGATCCAGGAAGTGACGCTGTGAGGCTAGCTCAGTGCTGCCACCTCTTATTGAGTATCTAAAGTTGAAGGCCGACCGGGGGGTACTGCAAGCTGCAAATTATCCTTATAACTTCTTCTATGTGCGATTTTTTAAATCAAATTTACATCTGGTGAAATAGAAGCAAGCATTGGTACCATGACTGTGTTCGGGAATAAATGGTACAGTCGTGGCCAAAAATATTGGCACCATTTTGCTCTTTTTTCAAATAATGCGCCATTTCTTCCAGAAAACTGTTGAAATAAAAACATATTTTGGTATCCACATATGTATGTCTTTGGTTTGCAGTTGAACAAAACAAGAAAAATCTGAATAATTTACTAAATGTTCCACAAAGAAATCCTAAAATGGCCCGGACAATATTATTGGCACCTTCTAGAAGTAGTTAGAAATAATTATATTTCAAGCAGGTGATTCTCCTTTACTTTAGAATTGAACTCACCTGTGGTGAGTTGCAGGGGCCTGCAATATAAAAATCACTCATTCGACCACTGTGTCCCGCAGTGAGCACGGAGAAAATAAAGAAAAAACTGAGAATTATCTGAAGAGGTCAGACACAAGATTGTAGCCAAGCATGGACTATCTCAAGGCTACAAGTCCATCTCCAGAGACCTTGATGTTCCCGTTTCCACCATACGTAATGTTATCAAGAAGTGTAAGGCCCATGGCACTGCAGCCAAACTCCCTGGACGTGGCCGCAAGAGAAAACTTGATGGAAGATTGCAGCGAAGCATTGTTCGAATGGTGGAGAAATCACCTCGATCAACTGCCACACAGATTCAAGCTGACCTTCAGACACAAGGTACGACAGTTTCAACTCGCACCATCCCGTCGCCAACTCAATGAAAGGGGGTTATATGGCAGGAGACCCAGGGGGACCCCACTGCTGAGAGAGAGACATAAGAAATCCCGACTGCAATTTGCCAAAAACCCACCTGAACACGCCAAAATCCTTCTGGGAGAACGTCCTGTCGACAGATGAGACCCAATTAGAGCTTTTTGGTAAAGCATCTCTATGTTTACAAATAATAAAATGAAGCCTTCAAAGAAAATAACACCTTCCCTACAGTCAAACATGTAGGAGGTTCAGTGATGTTTTAGGGTTGCTTTGCTGCCTCTGGCGCTTGAACGTGTGCATGGCATCATGAAATCAGGAGAATACCAAGGCATTTTGGAGCGCAATGTCGGACCAGTGTCAGACACAGTGTCAGAAAGCTGGGTCTCTGTCGAAGGTCATGGGTCTTCCAGCAGGACAATGACCCCAAACACATTTCAAAAAGCACACAGGAATGGTTCAAGACAAAACGCTGGACTGTTCTGAAGTGGCCAGCAATGAGTCCAGATTTAAATCCCATTGAAAACCTGTGGAGAGATCTGAAAACAGCAGTTGGGAGAAGGCACCCTTCAAATATGGGAGAACTGGAGCAGTTTGCACAAGAGGAGTGGGCCAAACTGCCAGTACAGAGGTGCAGGAAGCTCATCGATGGCTATAGGAAGCGCTTGATTGCAGTTATTTTGACCAAAGGCTGTGCTACCAAATATTAAGTCTAGGGTGTCAATTACTTTGTCAATGCCATCTGTTTATTTTCTGATTTAAATGGATATACTAAGTTCTGAATCAACAAAGGTTCTGTAATATTAACAGTGAAATAAAGAATTGTGGAGACCAAATACTTGTCACTTTCAATTTATTTTTAGGGAAAATTGTGAGTTACTTGGCTGTGCGAAGTTGCTGGATATTAGCGGGAACTGAAACACGCTGTCGTACACGTCGATCCAGAGCATCCCAAACATGCTCAAATGGGTGACATGTCTGGTGAGTATGCAGGCCATGAAAGAACTGGGACATTTTCAGCTTCCAGGAATTGTGTACAGATCCTTGCGACATGGGGCCGTGCATTATCATGCTGAAACATGAGGTGATGGCGACGAATGAATGGCACGACAATGGGCCTCAGGATCTCGTCACGGTGTCTCTGTGCATTCAAATTGCTCTGTTCACAACACTGACTTCAGCAAACCGCTTGCCCACACAACGCCATACATGCTGTCTGCCATCTGCCCGGTACAGTTGAAACCAGGATTCATCCGTGAAGAGCAAACTTCTCCAGCGTGCCAGTGGCCATCGAAGTCGGATACGACGCCGAACTGCAGTCAGGCCAAGACCCTGGTGATGACGACGAGCATGCAGATGAGCTTCCCTGAGACGGTTTCTGACAGTTTGTGCAGAACCCCCTTTCCTCAGCTGTCTGGTGGCTGGTTTCAGACAATCCTGCAGGTAAAGATGCTCGATGTGGAGGTCCTGGGCTGGCGTGGTTACACGTGGTCTGCGGTTGTGAGGCCGGTTGGACGTACTGCCAAAATCTTTAAAACGAGGCGGCTTATGGTAGAGAAATTAACATTCAATTCTCTGGCAACAGTTCTGGTGGACATTCCTGCAGTCAGCATGTCAGTTACACGCTCCCTCAAAACTTGGGACATCTGTGGCATTGTGTTGTGTGTCAAAACTGCACATTTTAGAGTGGCCTTTTATTGTCCCCAGCATAAGGCACACCTGTGTAATGATCACGCTGTTTAATCAGCTTCTTGATATGCCACACCTGTCAGGAGGATGGATTATCTTCACAAAGGAGAAATGCTCACTAACAGGGATTTGTTAGTGCACAACATTAGAGAGAAATAAGCTTTTTTTGCGTATGGAAAATTTCTGGGATCTTTGATTTCAGCTCATGAAACATTGGACCAACACTTTACATGTTGCGTTTATATTTTTGTTCAGTATAGTTTATCCACGTTGCTGGATATCATATTGTAGATAAAATTGTGTATTTTGGTTGAAATAATATGACTCTGCGAGCCTGTAAAAAAAGCCCAAACAGCCAATGTGTGTTCCTGGAACAACACAGTAAAATCACCCAGGAAGCATCTCAAATGGCACCCTATTCCCTATATAGTGCACTACTTCTAAGCAGAGCTCTGATCAAAAGTAGTGCACTATGTAGGGAATAGGGTGTCATTTGAGACACGGACAGAGCCTATCCCAAATCAAACACCTCACATTATCCCACAATGCATCTTATCCTACATGCATTTATATTCTCTAGGGGTGCAGGCTGTGACTCAAGATTCGCCCCAACCATTCTCCGCTATGAATTGACAATGACAGGGAAAGTTTTGACAATAACAGGGAAAGTCATTCATGCAACTATAAGATATTATATGGGCCTTTACATCTCACCTTGGTGTGTGTGTGTGTGTGTGTGTGTGTGTGTGTGTGTGTGTGTGTGTGTGTGTGTGTGTGTGTGTGTGTGTGTGTGTGTGTGTGTGTGTGTGTGTGTGTGTGTGTGTGTGTAGCAGATTTGTATGCTTCTTGTTCAGAGAATATCAAATGAACAATATATGAATGTCAAATATACAGTACAAGCTCCTACTGTTGTTTTGCTGAAAGACAAGTACTGGTTCTGGTTCTGGCTACAGCCTGTATGGTACCAGTTTATTTAAAGGGGTATGGTTTTGCAGTTTTTCTCTTCAAGGTCAGAACACGTAGCCACTGTTTAATATTTGTGTTCTTCATTTTGTCAACTGATATACCAGTGTTGCTTCTGTCCCTATCCTTGCCCTGAACCGGGCTAGAACAAGGGTCCAAAAACATAATACTTTTATTTTAATAAATGTTTCTATTCAGATTTTTCAGGGGGTGATGCAGCACCCTCATCTTTCCTACTTCCCGTGCTACGCTACGGACCCTCTGAACACGTGTCATCCATGTAGTAGCGATACCAGTCAGATCACAAAAGCTGCAGAGCAGTGACCTTACAGAGCAGTGGTCCTTACAGAGCATCGGTCCTTACAGAGCAGTGGTCCTTACAGAGCAGTGGTCCTTACAGAGCAGTGGTCCTTACAGAGCAGTGGTCCTTACAGAGCATCGGTCCTTACAGAGCAGCGGTCCTTACAGAGCAGCGGTCCTTACAGAGCATCGGTCCTTACAGAGCAGCGGTCCCTTACAGAGCAGTTGGTCCTTACAGAGCATCGGTCCTTACAGAGCAGCGGTCCTTACAGAGCAGTGGTCCTTACAGAGCAGTGGTCCTTACAGAGCAGTGGTCCTTGGAAAACAACTACTTCTAGGTCTCAGTGATTAAACGCTACTAGCGCACCGCTAACTAGCTATCCATTTCACATCAGCTACACTGACGTCTCTCTCTCTCTCTCTCTCTCTCGCCCCCCACCCGTTCTCCCATCCATCCCTCCTCCCTCCCCCTTCTCTCTCCCCCTCTCTCTCCCCCACCCTCCCTCTCTCCCCTCTCTCCCCTCCCCCCTCTCTCCCCCTCACGCCCCGCTCTCCCCCTCTCTCCCCGTCCCTCTCTCCCCCTCTCTCTCCCTCCCTCCCTCTCTAACCCCCCCCCGTCCAATCTCTCTCCACATGGCCCTCCCACTCTCCACCTCTCTCCCCCACCCCCCTCCCTCCTCCCCGCTCTCTCTCCTTCCTCCAGATCCTGGCCATCCTCTCCATTCTGTTCATTATCCTCTCCACCATTGCCTTGTCCCTCAACACCCTACCAGAGCTCCAGGTGCTAGATGAGTTCGGCCAGGCCAACGACAACCCCCAGCTGGCCCATGTAGAGGCCATCTGCATCGCCTGGTTCACCATGGAGTACGTTCTTCGCTTTCTCTCCTCACCTAACAAGTGGAAGTTCTTCAAAGGTATATATACGCTGGACCCGCTCCTCAACTAAACTGAAACTGATCCGACCGACCGACCGACCGACCGACCGCTGCAAGACGGAGCATTTATATTGCAGCGTCATCGCCTGCTTAACAGATTAACATTACTTTTGTATTTTGTTTGTGTTTTAGTTAGTAATACTGCCAATTTTAATATTTAAAATGTAAGTTGTACTCGCAATTCAGCTTGTTGCTGCCACTTGTACAATGTCTTGTTGAAGTAAAAACTGTTTTATCACTCTCTCTCTCCCTACCCCTGTCCTTTGCTTTCGCTCTCTCTTTCACTTCCTTCTCTCCCTCTCTCTGTCTTAAAGGTCCCCTGAACGTCATTGACCTGCTGGCCATCCTCCCTTATTACGTCACCATCTTCCTGACGGAATCCAACAAGAGCGTTCTACAGTTCCAGAATGTCCGGCGTGTGGTGCAGATATTCCGGATCATGAGAATATTAAGGATTCTGAAGCTGGCCAGGCATTCCACAGGGCTGCAGTCTCTAGGTCTGTGTGCATATTGTTTAGCCTGGTGTTTCTTAATCATGGTCCTGGGGACCCAAACGGGTGCTCGTTTTAGTTTTTGCCCTAGCACTACACACCTGATTCCACCAATGAAAGGTTTGATGAGTTGATTCGTGAGCACCTCTTTGGGTTCCCAGGACCAAGAAACACTGTTGTTTGCCTCATTGAGGACATACAGTTTGAGTTGTTCTAATCTAATCTAATCTAATCTAATATAGGCTTCACCCTGAGGCGGAGTTACAACGAGTTGGGCCTGCTCATCCTCTTCCTGGCCATGGGCATCATGATCTTCTCCAGCCTCGTCTTCTTCGCCGAGAAGGACGAAGACGCCACCAAGTTCACCAGCATCCCCGCGTCCTTCTGGTGGGCCACCATCACTATGACCACGGTGGGTTACGGTGACATCTACCCTCAGACTCTTCTGGGTAAGATAGTCGGGGGTCTGTGCTGTATCGCCGGGGTGCTGGTGATCGCTCTACCCATCCCCATTATAGTCAACAACTTCTCTGAGTTCTACAAGGAGCAGAAGAGGCAGGAGAAGGCCATCAAGAGGCGGGAGGCGCTGGAGAGGGCCAAGAGGAACGGCAGTATCGTCTCCATGAACCTGAAGGACGCGTTCGCCCGGAGTATGGAGCTGATGGATGTAGTCGTGGATAAAAGAGGAGAGGACAAGCTCTGTGTGGGCCTGGATAACCACCTGTCCCCCAGCCGCTGGGCCGGCACACCCAAATGCACCGCCTCCGACACCAGTCTTCATTCCCTGGATAAGACGTTCCCCGAGTCCATCCTCCTGGGGTCCACCCACCGCATCACCATCACCACCAGTGTAAGACCCCAGCGGCGGCACCTCGGCAGCCCTCAGTTCAGAGGCGGTACCTCTCAGCTTCTTAACGCTCAGAACCTAGAGACCATGTACAACCAGATGGCCAGGTCTCAGTCCTTCACCAACCTCAACACTTCCTGCTCCGTGAGCACCGTGAGCACCTCCACCGCCTTCACCACCACGGCAACCCCGGCGCCGCCGCTGCAACAGCACCCGGGGTCCCCTCCCACCCCGGTCCCGACCTTACAGAAAGTGGAGCTGGAGATGCAGGAAGTCCCGCCCTCTTCTTCGACCGAGCCCTTACTGAAGGAAGTTGAAGGAATACGGAGCCTGCCCAGCGTGGATAGCTTCTCTAGCTGCAGGGACGAGTTCTCGGAGGGCTCTGGATATGGAAGAAAGCTCCCTCTGTCTCTGGACCTCCTCCCAGAGTCGAGTGTCGATGACGTCCAAAGCCCCCAGGATGCCACCCTCCTCAAAGACGGGATGTATGGGTTTGTTCACTATGACCAAGATGGTGCCACACAGTCCCCCAGAGACGACGCAGAGAGCTTCAACAGAACAGTGGAGGACATCCGGAACTCCCTGAGAGGCAGTATCAACCCCGTCGTCAAGGGAACTAAAGGGTTAAAGGTCAACTTCATAGAGGGCCCCCCTACCGAGGTCCCCCCGACGCCACCCAGCACCACCTCCCGCCAAGACATCAGCTCCAGCCTCCTGGAGGATGAGTCCCCTGAGGGAGAGACCTCGCCACACCTCCCCAGCACAGAGGCACTTGACCCGGGCACAGAAGACGAGACCTTCCCCCTGTCCCCTGAGAGGCTGATGGTGGTGATGGACACCCCGCCAGGGGACGAGGACACCCTGGACCAGAGTCTCGGGGGTCAAGGGTTGGCCAACGACGAGAACCACGAGGAGAAGAATCTGATGGAGATGGCGGGAGCGGCGGGGAACTGCACCCAGGGTGTGATGGGGGGAGGGGCAGGTGGGGAGGGCAAGGCCAACAGCAACCAAAGTGGACTTAAAGCAGAGAACCACATGTTTACACCAGAGATCCCCCTGATGACCGGGGACAGCAGTATGTCCCCAACCTGCGAAACCAGCATGTGACTGTAGGGGGCTCTCTGAGGGAAAATACCCACTGGAACTAGGTTTAAATTACCTCGGCCTGCTGAAAAATACGAAGAAGAATGAGAAGAAAAGGAGGGAAGTGAGAAAAGAGAAAAAGGGTCCGATAGTGAAATAGTGGAAGAGATATTTTTGCATGGCATGACAAGTCCCTTTTACATGTGTTGTTGTTTATTGCTGAAACAGCGACTTCAGTGGTTTATTGCTGAAACAGAGACTTCAGTGGTTTATTGCTGAAACAGAGACTTCAGTGGTTTATTGCTGAAACAGAGACTTCAGTGGTTTTATTGCTGAAACAGCGACTTCAGTGGTTTATTGCTGAAACAGAGACATTTTTGATCGTGATGTATATTTGAGCCTTGTTTTTTTTTCTAGTAAAAAATGCTTATCTTTAAAAGGCATGAATTAAAATATATATATAAATATATATATATATATATATATATATATACAGTTGAAGTCGGAAGTTTACATACACCTTAGCCAAATACATTTAAACTCAGTTTTTCACAATTCCTGACATTTTATCTGAATAAAAATTCCCTGTTTTAGGTCAGTTAGGATCACCACTTTATTTTAAGAATGTGAAATGTCAGAATAATAGTAGAGAGAATGATTTATTTCAGCTTTTATTTCTTTCATCACATTCCCAGTGGGTCAGAAGTTTACATACACTCAATTAGTATTTGGTAGCATTGCCTTTAAATTGTTTAACTTGGGTCAAACGTTTCGGGTAGCCTTCCACAAGCTTCCCACAATAAATTGGGTGAATTTTGGCCCATTCCTCCTGACAGAGCTGGTGTAACTGAGTCAGGTTTGTAGGCCTCCTTGCTCGCACACGCTTTTTCAGTTCTGCCCACAAATTTTCTCAAATAGGATTGAGGTCAGGGCTTTGTGATGGCCACTCCAATACCTTGACTTAGTTGTCCTTAAGCCATTTTGCCACAACTTTGGAAGTATGCTTGGGGTCATTGTCCATTTGGAAGACCCATTTGCGACCAAGCTTTGACTTCCTGACTGATGTATTGAGATGTTATTCAATATATCCACATAATTTTCCTTCCTCGTGATGCCATCTATTTTGTGAAGTGCACCAGTCCCTCCTGCAGCAAAGCACCCCCACAGCATGATGCTGCCACCACCGTGCTTCACAATTGGGATGGTGATCTTCGGCTTGCAAGCATTCCCCTTTTTCATCCAAACATAATGATGGTCATTTTGGCCAAACAGTTATATTTTTGTTTCATCAGACCAGAGGACATTTCTCCAAAAAGTACGATCTTTGTCCCCATGTGCGGTTGCAAACCGTAGTCTGGCTTTTTTATGGCGGTTTTGGAGCAGTGGTTTCTTCCTTGCTGAGTGGCCTTTCAGGTTATGTCAATATAGGACTCGTTTTGCTGTAGATATCGATGCTTTTGTACCTGTTTCCTCCAGCATCTTCACAAGGTCCTTTGCTGTTGTTCTGGGAATGATTTGCACTTTTCACAAAAAAGTATGTTCATCTCTAGGAGACAGAACGTCTCCTTCCTGAGCAGTATGACGGCTGCGTGGTCCCATGGTGTTTATACTTGCGTACTATTGTTTGTACAGATTAACGTGGTACCTTCAGGCATTTGGAAATTGCTCCCAAGGATGAACCAGACTTGTGGAGGTCTACAGTTTAAAGGCACAGTCAACATAGTGTATGTAAACTTCTGACCCATTGGAATTGTGATACAGTGAATTATAAGTGAAATAATCTGTCTGTAAACAATTGTTGGAAAAATTACTTGTGTCATGCACAAAGTAGATGCCCTAACCGACTTGCCAAAACTATAGTTTGTTAACAAGAAATTTGTGGAGTGGTTGAAAAACAAGTTTTAATGACTCCAGCCTAAGTGTATGTAAACTTTCGACTTCAACTGTATATATATATATATACACACTACCGTTCAAATGTTTGGGGTCACTTAGAAATGTCCTTGTTTTCGAAAGAAAATCTAATGTTTTGTCCATTGAAATAACATCAAATTGATCAGAAATACAGTGTGGACATTGTTAATGTTGTAAATGGCTATTGTAGCTGGAAACGGCTGATTTTTAATGGAATATCTACATAGGCGTACAGAGGCCCATTATCAGCAACCATCAGTCCTCTGTTCCAATGGCACGTTGTGTTTGCTAATCCACGTTTATAATTTTAAAAGGCTAATTGATCATTAGAAAACCCTTTTGCAATTATGTTAGCACAAAAAGCCATATCTCAGACTGCCCATCTTCATCTTTTCCTTTTATTGGCCAGTCTGAGATATGGCTATTTCTTTGCAATTCTGCCTAGAAGGTCAGCATCCCGGAGTCGCCTCTTCACTGTTGACGTTGAGACTGGTGTTTTGCGGGTACTATTTAATTAAGCTGCCAGTTGAGGACCTGTGAGGCGCCTGTTTCTCAAACTAGACACTCTAATGTATTTGTCCTCTTGCTCAGTTGTGCACCGGGGCCTCCCACTCCTCTTTCTATTCTGGTTAGAGCCAGTTTGCGCTGTTCTGTGAAGGGAGTAGTACACAGCGTTGTACAAGATCTTCAATTTCTTGCATGGAATATCCTTCATTTCTCAAAACAAGAATAGACTGACGAGTTTCAGAAGAAAGTTATTTGTTTCTGGCCATTTTGAGCCTGTAATCGAACCCACAATTTCTGATGCTCCAGATACTCAACTAATCTCAAGAAGGCCAGTTTTATTGCTTCTTTAATCAGCACAACAGTTTTCAGCTGTGCTAACATAATTGCAAAAGGGTTTTCTAGTGATCAATTAGCCTTTTAAAATGATAAACTTGGATTACCAAACACAACGTGCCATTGGAACACAGGACTGATGGTTGCTGATAATGGGCCTCTGTACGCCTATGTAGATATTCCATTAAAAATCAGCCATTTCCAGCTACAATAGCCATTTACAACGTTAACAATGTCTACACTTTATTTCTGATCAATTTGATGTTATTTTAGTGGACAATTTTTTTTTATTTTCTTTCGAAAACAAGGACATTTCTAAGTGACCCCAAACTTTTGAACGGTAGTGTAAATTGATAGAGATATATTTGACGGTGCTTAGTTTGCTGAAAGCGCTCAACTGTACATACTATGACAGCAAAGGCAATGACAATTCACAGCAGAAGAGGCAGAAAATCCATGTTCCCCGAAGGTACAAATATTTCTAATGTGAGGAGAGTAATGCATTGACAGACCTCAGACAGAGCGTGTATCCCAAATAACACCCTGTTCCATATATAGTGCACTACTTTTGACCACAACCCTACGGGGGGTGGTTGCAACGTAGCGACAAATGTCAAACATATCGTGACCTTTCGTGGAAATGGAATGTGTAAAAACCATGACGACCATGTAATGTTTTTGTGTTGATGAGATTTATGTATGAACTGCATTGATTGTCTTCAGTTTGGGTTTTTCAATTTAATAATGTCATGCTCAAAAGACCTTCAGCTTAATGATGATTATTATTTTCATAGGAAATAATGATACAAAAAAATGATATACAACTGTAGTTGCCAAAATATGTAATCAGTGAGGACAAATGGAAAATGCTTCAGCTAGTAGCCTAAACTTAATAATTAAACATATTTATATCAGCTTGGTTTCAAGATAAGGTTTTTAGAAAGAATAAATTATTAGGTTGGTTCAAATACAACACTGTACCTTCTCTGCTTCTTGATTCCATCAAAACATCACACTATATATTATTTACTCTAAGTACAATATGTACTTCTGAATGTAGCTTTTACGAATGTAAATACTCTAAATACAGCTAAGTAGGTCTACAGTTAGTTAAGACAGTCGTAGAGTCGTTCTAGCGGCAGGGGGGGGGGGTCCCTATACCTTAAATGTTTTATCAATCTGATAGGTATCTGGTCATTAACATACAGTATGCTGTTCAAACTGTACTTTTTCCTTTAGACATAGTCATTGTCTTCCAAATGGCACCCTATTCCCTGTTCAGATCACTAGTAGTGCAAAATGTAGGTCATATAGGGTGACATTTGGGGCAGAACCAATCAGAGAGAGAGAAAAACATAGTACAGTGGCTTGCGAAAGTATTCACCCCCCTTGGCATTTTTCCTATTTTGTTGCCTTACAACCTGGAATTGAAATGGATTTTTTGGGGGGGTTTGTATCGTTTGATTTACACAACATGCCTACCACTTTGAAGATGTCAATACTTTGTAGAGCCACCTTTTGCAGCAATTACAGCTGCAAGTCTCTTTGGGTATGTCTCTATAAGCTTGACACATCTAGCCACTGGGATTTTTGCCCATTCTTCAAGGCAAAACTGCTCCAGCTCCTTCAAGTTGGATGGGTTCCGCTGGTGTACAGCAATCTTTAAGACATACCACAGATTCTCAATTGGATCGAGGTCTGGGCTTTGAATAGGCCATTCCAAGACATTTAAATGTTTCCCCTTAAACCAATCGAGTGTTGCTTTAGCAGTATGCTTAGGGTCATTGTCCTGCTGGAAGGTGAATCTCCGTCCCAGTCTCAAATCTCTGGAAGACTGAAACAGGTTTCCCTCAAGAATTTCTCTGTATTTAGCGCCATCCATCATTCCTTCAATTCTGACCAGTTTCCCAGTCCCTGCCGATGAAAAACATCCCCACAGCATGATGCTGCCACCACCATGCTTCACTGTGGGGATGGTGTTCTCGGGGTGATGAGAGGTGTTGGGTTTGTGCCAGACATTGCGTTTTCCTTGATGGCCAAAAAGCTCAATTTTAGTCTCATCTGACCAGAGTACCTTCTTCCATATGTTTGGGGAGTCTCCTACATGCCTTTTAGCGAACACCAAACGTTTTTGCTTATTTTTTTCTTCAAGCAATGGCTTTTTTCTGGCCACTCTTCTGTAAAGCCCAGCTCTGTAGAGTGTACGGCTTAAAGTGGCCCTATGGACAGATACTCCAATCTCCACTGTGGAGCTTTGCAGCTCCTTCAGG